AATAATATTTATTTGATATCATAAATATTGATATTTTTATCTATAATTAATCAAACTTATAAGATACTAAAACATGATAGTGTGCTATAATTTCATGTTTTTTTGGACGCGGCAGTACTCTTCACCAATATGATCTCTAACGCTACACGGTCACATCGAACACGTGGTACGAGCTTTAAATTATTTGAGGAAGTCATTCATCAACCACGCCCGGAGCATGTGTCAGCGTGAAGCCGACTCCGATTCGCGCATGCTATAAAAAGTAGTTCACATTCGATCAATTTTTTAAGTAAATAGTATTCATATTTATAGCTGCAAACCGATTTGTTATGAAAATAGTTCGTAATTAATTTAATAATATTTATTTGATATCATAAATATTGATATTTTTTATCTATAATTAATCAAACTTATAAGATACTAAAACATCTAGAATTTCATGTTTTTTCTGGACTCGGCAGTACTTTTCACCAATATGATCTCTAACGCTACACGGTCACATCGAACAGTGGTACGAGCTTTAAATTATTTGAGGAAGTCATTCATCAACCACGCCCGGAGCATGTGTCAGCGTGAAGCCGACTCCATTTCGCGAGATCACACCACGCCCCGATCGCCCAATAGGCAGCAGGACAAACTGAGCCCATAGTCACATGCACGTACCTCCAGGAGACCGGGACGGGCTGTCATTCTTGCTGGTCGCTGCTCCGGGCACCGACTACTGGCGAGTTCCGTTGCGCCGTCGATGGAAGCACACGTTTCATGTAGTAGTTGCGATGGCTGGCTATTAGGGCTTCTCCCATGGTGTTTCCAAAGTGACTCATAGGATAATTTTATTTTGGCACGAGTCGATACATGCACCACTGAAGCAAACCGATGCATGAAGTGTGTCAGGAGTCGACCATCAAACATGAGTCGATTCATTCCAATTAAAATAGTATTCACATGGAAAAAAGAGGAAGAGGAAAGGGACCGCAAGCACCAGGGCCTTAGGAGAACAAAACATTTTTTTATTTAAATAGCTCACAGGGAGAGTCGACCTACCGCTGGAGATTGAATGAATTGACTCAACTGCATCTTGTTGTATGTGTACGTGGCCTCGGTGAGTCGACCCACCACTACACATGCCCTTAGCAAAAAAATCTTCCGGCCGCGCCGCGTACTGGGTAGCTGCGTCGTCACTAGCAGCTTGTCCGGCCATTCAGCGCATTATTATTCCCGGAATGATTTGCCCCACCAACTTCAATCAAAAAAGTTGCTAATGCCTCTCCGGAAAACTACAGTATTGTCTTGTAGTATTTGTATTCTTTAGATAATTGATAGAAATCTGGTCTCTACATCCATCGATGTGGTGCTTTGTGTCTCACCGTCGATGCAAAATTCTCAGATCTGAATCGACCAGTTGCCTGCTTTGGCACATTTCGAGTTTCTGTAGGGAACTAGGTATAGAGTATTGTAAGCAGGAAGATAGGAGGAGTAGAATAGCAAGCAATCTCAGGAAATCAGCAGAAGAACAAGAACGAATCGGGATTGGGATGAGTACTTGGACGGAATTAGAACAGAGGAGTGCTTGAGTTTACAGAGTTGTTCATGTATTCGATAATCCCCTCTCTGTCTCTCTCTCTCCCAATACATATACCAAAACACTACGGCTCGCTCTCTCGCCAGCTGGTGCCGGTCACGCCCACTGCGGCCCATGGATGCGCGTGTTGGGCCTGTGGTCTCGCTCTCCTCGACGCGGCCCATGATCAGCTTGACCGGCGTCGTCCACTCCTTCTTGCTCAGCTGTTGCAGATACATGGCCGCTGACAAGTATGTATCACAGCAAACCTGAAAGCAGTGAGTGTGGCAAAAAAAAAATCTCATAGTAGAGGCACCATGAATCCAGACTCCAAGCTCCTGCTGGACGAGATGCATCATCTCTTCAACGAGCAGAAGACCCAGTCGAGGACCGGTTCGCTGAGGCTGATCGGAAGCTAGGCTTGCGCTTCACCGACAGCAGCCGTCTCCTGGAGAAGCGGTTCACGGTCTTCTCGTATTGCATAGAGGAGGGTAAGACTTGCCACTGACACCCTTCCCTAGACCCCGCACAGAGCGGGAGCTCTCTGCACTGGGTACACCCTTTTTTTACCTTTAATGTCGTTAAGATGCTCGAGAAAATAATATAAAGTTTCAGCAGCATATTAATTGTGTATCAAGGCTTGTTGCTTCACGAAAATTATATTTTGTTGTGTGGTGTCAATGAAGATACTTTTTATATCAAAGTCGTAGCTATAGATGAGATCAACAACTTTTAGTTATGAGGTCTTTCATTTGAGATCGTTAAGATGCTTAAGATAATAATACAAAATTTAAGGGGCATATTAATCAAGTACCAAACCTTATCTTCTTAGAAAAATCATATATTTCTTATTTGATGTCACATAAAAATGTTTTTTAAATAAAAGATGTAGATGTTATCGAGAGTATATTTATTCAACATCACATGGAAAGATATGTTTTTTTTCTGTCTTACGGTTGGGTACGAGCAAAAAGGTTAGATAAAAAAAATTAGACATGGTTATTATTAAAATATTAAATAAAAATGATTAAAAATGTCACAGCAAACTAGCCGACTTGCATCAGTGTCTGCCAGCAGCGCAAAGAGAAAATTTAAAAACTGACGTGCCTGCCCACCTACAACTACACCGCAGACTAGTAGTTTTCAGAAAAATATGCAACTATGCCTTGCATGCTAAAAAAGTAGTTCACATTGAACAAAATTTTTAGTAAATAATATTCATATTTATAGCTGTAAACCGATTTATTATTAAAATAGTTCATAATTAATTTAATATTATTTATTTAATATCATAAATATTGATATTTTTTACCTATAATTAATCAAACTTATAAGATTATAAAACATGACAGTGTGCTAGAATTTCATGTTTTGCAGGACGCGACAGTACTTTTCACCAATATGATCTCTAACGCTACACGGTCACATCGAACATGTGGTACGAGCTTTAAATTATTTGAGGAAGTCATTCATCAACCATGCCCGGAGCATGTGTCAGCGTGAAGCTGACTCTGATTCGGGCATGCTAAAAAAAAGCAGTTCACATTCGACCAAATTTTTAGTAAATAGTATTCATATTTATAGCTGCAAACCAATTTATTATGAAAATAGTTCGTAATTAATTTAATAATATTTATTTGATATCATAAATATTGATATTTTTTATCTATAATTAATCAAACTTATAAGATATTAAAACATGACAGTGCGCTAGAATTTCATGTTTTAGTGGACGCGGCAGTACTTTTCACCAATATGATCTCTAACGCTACACGGTCACATTGAACACGTGGTACGAGCTTTAAATTATTTGAGGAAGTCATTCATCAACCACGCCCGGAGCATGTGTCAGCATGAAGCCGACTCTGATTCGCGCATGCTAAAAAAAAGTAGTTCACATTGGATCAAATTTTTAGTAAATAGTATTCATATTTATAGCTGCAAACCGATTTATTATGAAAATAGTTTGTAATTAATTTAATAATATTTATTTGATATCATGAATATTGATATTTTTATCTATAATTAATCAAACTTATAAGATACTAAAACATGACAGTGTGCTAGAATTTCATGTTTTTTTACGGGCCGCGCATGATACTTTTCACCAATATCGGCCCTGCTCGTTAAACACCTTAAAAAGCGGACCTTTATTAGGTTTGTTTTTTCAACCGTAACAGTATTTTTCTCTCACAACAATTCAGGCAGAACAGTATTTTTCAGCTAAGTTTCAGCAAGCCGAACGGGCCATGATCTCTAACGCTACACGGTCACATCGAACACGTGGTACGAGCTTTAAATTATTTGAGGAAGTCATTCATCAACCACGCCCGGAGCATGCGTCAGCGTGAAGCCGACTCCTATTCGCGAGATCACACCACGCCCCGATCGCCCAATAGGCAGCAGGACAAACTGAGCCCATAGTCACATGCACATACCTCCGGGAGACCGGGACGGGCTGTCATTCTTGCTGGTCGCTGCTCCGGGCACCGGCTACTGGCGAGTTCCGTTGCGCCGTCGATGGAAGCACACGTTTCATGTAGTAGTTGCAATGGCTGGCTATTAGGGCTTCTCCCATGGTGTTTCCAAAGTGACTCATAGGATAATTTTATTTTGGCACGAGTCGATACATGCACCACTGAAGCAAACCGATGCATGAAGTGTGTCAGGAGTCGACCATCAAACATGAGTCGATTCATTCCAATTAAAATAGTATTCACGTGGAAAGAAGAGGAAGAGGAAAGGGATGGAAAGCACCAGGTCGCTCGTGCAAGTGTCCGACTTAGGAGAACAAAACATTTTTTTATTTGAATGGCCCATAGGAAGAGTCAACCTACCACTGGAGATTGAATGAATTGACTCAACTGCATCTTGTTGTATGCGTACGTGGCCTCGGTGAGTCGACCCACCGCTACACATGCCCTTAGCAAAAAAAAATCTTACGGCGGCGCCGCGTGCTAGGTAGCTGCGTCGTCACTAGCAGCTTGTCCGGCCATTCAGCGCATTATTATTCCCGGAATGATTTGCCCCACCAACTTCAATCAAAAAATGTGCTAATGCCTCTCTGGAAATCTACAGTATTGTCTTGTAGTATTTGTATTCTTTAGATAATTGATAGAAATCTGGTCTCTACATCCATCGATGTGGTGCTTTGTGTCTCACCGTCGATGCAAAATTCTCAGATCTGAATCGACCAGTTGCCTGCTTTGGCACATTTCGAGTTTCTGTAGGGAACTAGGTATAGAGTATTGTAAGCAGGAAGATAGGAGGAGTAGAATAGCAAGCAATCTCAGGAAATCAGCAGAAGAACAAGAACGAATCGGGATTGGGATGAGTACTTGGACGGAATTAGAACAGAGGAGTGCTTGAGTTTACAGAGCTGTTCATGTATTCGATAATCCCCTCTCTGTCTCTCTCTCCCAATACATATACCAAAACACTACGGTTCTCTCTCTCGCCAGCTGGTGCCGGTCACGCCCACTGCGGCCCATGGACGCGCGTGATGGGCCTGCGGTCTCGCTCTCCTCGACGCGGCCCATATCAGCTTGGCCGGCGTCGTCCACTCCTTGCTCAGCTGCTGCAGATACATGGCCGCTGACATCCCCTCCCCGATAAGAACCAGCTTGCCCCCAAGTTGGTGCTCGAGGAAATCTCTGGAGCAGGGTCTCCATGTCTTCCCAGGTGGCCAGAGAAGAGGGCAACCCGGACCACTTGATGAGAGCTTGAAGGCGCACCGCCGTGCCCACCTTGGCGACGCGCTTCTGCAACACTTGTTCAGGTGCAGTCCATCGAAAGAAGAAGGCAGTGGTTGAACAGTGTGAGTAACAGGCGCCGCCAGCTTCAACTGCGATACATGAAACACCGGGTGTATGGAAGACGATTCTGGAAGCTTCAGCTTGTAAGAAACAGAGCCAATTTTGTCAATGATCAGGTAAGGACCAAAAAATCTGTAAGCAAGCTTCTGGTTGGCCGTAACCGACTTCTGCTGAAACCAATCATCAAGAGTGTCAACTGAACATGCAGAAGAGAAGTCTATACCCAATTGCCGAGGTGATTGCCCATAGAGTGCTTCAAACGGTGAGCGGTTGAGTGCAGAGTGCCAAGTACTCCCTCCATCCCAAATTATAAGTCATTTCAAGAATCTTGGAGAGTCAAACTTCACTAAAATTATAGAGAGAAACACAAAGATTGATGACATCAAATAGGTATAATATGAAAATATAACTAATGAAGAATCTAATGATACTTACTTGGTATGATAAATATTATTATTTTGTTATATAAATTTGGTCAAACTTAAAAAACTTTGACTCTCCAAGATTATTGGAATGACTTATAATTTGGGATGGAGGGAGTAGTATTGTACCAGAATTCGGCTAGATGAAGCCAATCCACCCATTTGCTTGGAGCGTTATTTGCAAAACAGCGTAGGAAAGTCTCCATGCACCGGTGGACACGGTCTGTTTGTCCATCGGATTGCGGATGATAGCCAGGTGAAACAGTTCACGCCACAACTGACTGGTGAAAATGCGGTCTCGATCTGACACCAAAGCTGTGGGCAGCCCATGAAGGCGATATATATGTTGCATGAACATCTTGGCAACCGAAAGAGCGGTGACGGGATGTTTCAGAGCCACGAAATGGCTGTATTTGGAGAAAAGATCAACTACCACCAAAATACAGTTATATCCATTCCTTCCACAAAATCCAAGGACACAACCTGCCAAGCTGCAGAAGGGGTTGCTAGGGGCTGTAGCAGACCTGGATACTTCACACGCTCGGGCTTGGCTTGCTGGCAAGCGGGGCAGCTCTTAATAAATTCGGTGATATGCTTCTTCATGCCCGGCCAGGCGAATAAATGTTGAATACGCTTGAGCGTCGCCGGAATACCAGAATGCCCACCAAAAGGTGAACTGTGCAATGCTTCAATCAACTGTTGTTGCAGAGCAGTATTGGTTCCAACCCAGATGCGATTCTTGAACTTCAGTAGGCCATGGTCAATGGTGAAATGTGGGACTGCTGCAGGATCAGTTGCCAACTTGGCAAGCATGGTAGATGAATGATGGTCACGCTGATAGCCCGAGATGATGTCAGTACACCATTGTGGACTGACTACTGAAACGGCACAACAAATCTCTTCTGGGTGAACTCGGCGAGATAAAGAATCGGCTGCACTGTTATCGCATCCTTTCTTATAGACGATGCGGTATTGCAACCCCAACAATTTAGTGAAAACCCGCTGTTGCCAAACAGTGTGAAGGCGCTGATCATTTAGGTGAATGAGTGCTTTCTGATCTGTGTAAATAACAAACTCAGCCAACTGAAGATAAGAACGCCAGTGGTCCACAGCTATCAAAATGGCAAGGTACTCTTTTTCATGTGTTGAGAGTCCTTGGTTTTTGATCCCCAGGGGCTTGCTGACATAAGCGAGTGGATGTCCATTTTGCAAAAGAACCGCACCCACACCAGTTTGACAGGCGTCAGTCTCGATGGCAAAGACTTTAGAAAAATCTGGTATTCCAAGAACCGGTGCAGAACATAGGGCTTGTTTAAGAGTGTCAAAAACAAGTTGATGCTCCGATGTCCAAACAAAGAGAGTGTGTTTCTTGAGCAAGTTCGTGAGTGGTTTCGCTATGACAGCAAAACTGCGCATAAATTTCCGGTAATACCCTGCGAGACCCAGAAATCCATGGAGCTCACGAACGTTGGCCGGTGTGGGCCACTGCTGAACTGCAGAGACCTTTGCTGGATCAGTATGAACGCCCTTGCCAGTCAGAATATGCCCCAAATAGTGTATTTCTTGCTTGTCGAACTGGCATTTCTTGAGTTTCACAACCCAGTGATCCTTGGCCAGGAGGGAAAGCACCTGCTGCAAATGTTGGAGATGTTCTTCATAAGAGTTGTTGTAGACCAAAATATCATCGAAGAACATGATCACACATTTGCGCAGGAGTGGAGCTAGAGTGCCATTCATGGCGCCCTGGAAGGTGCCCGGTGCGTCTGACAGTCCAAATGGAACCACAGTAAACTCATAATGTCCTTCATGTGTAGAGAAAGCTGTCTTGTGTTCTTCACCCGGCTGCAGCCTGATTTCGTGGTAACCAGAATATAAATCCAGGATGGAAAACCAAAATGCCTGACCAAGTTCATCCACCAGTTGATCAAACACAGGTATTAGGTAGACCGACTTGACTGTCAAGGCGTTGAGGTAGCGGTAGTCGACACAAAACCGCCACGAACCGTCCTTCTTGCATACCAGCAACACAGGAGAAGAAAACGGTGAGGAGCTGGGTTGTATCAAGCCTTGGGAAAGCATATTCTGAACCTGAGTTTCAATTTCATCTTTCAACTGAGGTGGATATCGATATGCTCGAATGTTGACTGGAGTAGCCCCACTGACAAGAGGTATGGCATGGTCACAAGCACGCTTGGGTGGTAAAGAATCCGGCACTGTGAACACTGTTGGGAATGCATCTAGAATCTGCTGAATGTCTGAAGGAAAGGCAACTGACTGTTTAACATTTGACTGAACTTCGACAGACAGCAACTTAAAAATCATCTCGGCAGTTTCAGAGGAAGGAATGCCATGAAGCACCAGCTGATCCCCATCATCCCCATCAGAAGGTAACGAAATCCATTTGGCCTTCCAGTGAATTTCCATTGGGCTATAAATCTCAAGCCAGTCCATACCCAAAATCAAATCATACGAATTCAGCTGCAGGATTCTCAGATCATGCTGGAAGGTGTGACCCTGCACAGAGAATTCACAGCCGACAATAGATGAAGTACAGCACAAAATCTGCCCATTTGCAATTTTGACCGAAGCTTGTGCTGGCACACGGGCTAACTGAGGAAGTTGGTCAGCAATAGAAGCAGCCAAAAAGGATGATGAGCTACCGGAATCCACCAGAACAACAATAGGAAGACCATGAATGGTACCGTGAAAGCGGATAGTGCGGTGACCATTGGAGCCCATTCTGGCATCATGAGATATAGCTAGAAGCAACTGTTCGAAAGATTCCTCCAATTCTTCAGTGGATTGCTCCATGGTAAGCAGATCAAACACTTCTTGCATAGCCTATAACGGAATGGTAGCTGCACATTTATGGCCTCGCACCCACTTTTCAGCACAAACTTCACAGAGACCACGGGCTCGACGATAGTTGCGAAGGGTGGAGAGCTTATCATCCGGCCCTTTTGCTTGTGGCTTGTCTCCTGGTGCCCCATCAGCTGCCGGTGGCCGTTGCCAAGGCAAAGCCGGCTTGGCATGTTGTCTGAACCCCATCTTGCTGTTTTCAGCTCTCTGTTCCGAAGTTGCCACCTCTTCCTGCAGTAAAGCCAAGGAATACGCAGTATCGAGCGTAGCAGGGCGCTGCAAAGTAACAACCCTCCGGATGTCATCTCGTAACCCATCCACGAATCGAGTTGTGAAGTAATGCATGTCAGGATTTCAGGATTTGGCTGATAAGCTTTAAGTTGATCAAAAAGGGATGAAAAACGGTCGACATAGTCTGTGACAGTGGAGGTTTGGCTAATATGGAACATTTGGTGAACAAGCCGATCCCGCTGATCATGGCCAAAACGTTCATGCAGTAATTTGCATAAATCAGGCCAAGGAATACGATCAGGTTGGGGAATGGATTCAATCCAGCGGGCAGTGGAACCTTTGAAGTTCATGCGGGATATTTTGACCCACTAGCGCGGAGGTACTTCATACATGTCAAAGTAGTCCTCGGCCTGAGAAATCCACAGACTGGTGGTTTCACCCTCATAGATAGGAAAATTTTGCTTGGGAAGTTTGCGGAGATGTTTTGGGTTAGGCTCAGTGGCATGGTTACGAGTATGAACATCATAAGCATCCCCATGAAACAGAGAAACATCAGGTTTAGTCTCAGGTGGCATACCATTGGCGGGGAATGGGATTGGGAAGAATTTTCCCCAATACCATCCACCCGTGTAGTCGATTCGTAGTGGTGCCCGCTGGGCCGAGCAGCCGTGATACCCGCAGAAGGACGCGCGGCGGTCTGCTCCAACGCCGAAGGTGGTGGGGAGATCAACCCTGTCGACGCCGTAGCGTTGTCGAGGAATGATCGATCCCAATATTTGGTGAGTTTGTCCACCTTCAGCTTGAGATCATCCACATCGCCTTCAGATTCCTGGTGCCAGCTCTCCAGTGCGCCCGCCGCCTTCACGACGCCAGCGAGGCGGTCGTCTTGACGGCGCTCCGCTTCGGCGATGAGGTTGTTCTGGCGCAGCTCGGAGTCAGTGATGCGGCGTTCCCAGGAGAGGTCGGAGTCGGCAATGCGCTTGGTGATGGAGTCGTCGACCTCGGTCAGGCACTTGTTGAGGGAGTCGTCGACGTCGACGAGGCGCTTGGTGACGGAGTCATCGACCTCCGTAAACCGCTTCTCCAGGAGACGGCTGCTGTCGGTGAAGCGCGAGTCCAGCTTCCGATCCGCCTCAGCGAACCGGTCCTTGACTGGGTCTTCTGCTCGTTGAAGAGATGATGCATCTCGTCCAGCAGGAGCTTGGAGTCTGGATTCATGGCGCCTCTACTATGAGATTTTTTTTTTTTTTTTGGCCACACTCACTGCTTTCAGGTTTGCTGTGATACATACTTGTCAGCGGCCATGTATCTGCAACAGCTGAGCAAGGAGTGGACGACGCCGGCCAAGCTGATCATGGGCCGCGTCGAGGAGAGCGAGACCACAGACCCAACACGCGCATCCATGGGCCGCAGTGGGCGTGACCGGCACCAGCTGGCGAGAGAGAGAGCCGTAGCGTTTTGGTATATGTATTGGGAGAGAGACAGAGAGGGGATTATCGAATACATGAACAACTCTGTAAACTCAAGCACTCCTCTGTTCTAATTCCGTCCAAGTACTCATCCCAATCCCGATTCGTTCTTGTTCTTCTGCTGATTTCTTGAGATTGCTTGCTATTGTACTCCTCCTATCTTCCTGCTTACATCTGGTATCAGTTTCCTTCGATTCCTTCCGCCGTTCTCTGACCAAATCTTCGATTCGTTGATTGCTTGCAAACGCTTGGGTTGTCGAGATCGAATCGATTCCTTCGATCCCGATCTCCGTAATTCCCGGGCACGCGAGTAATCCGTCTCGATTACCGGCGCTGGATGAGTCCGGGACCGGGTGCCCCAGGAGGCCAGGACCGGTGTTGTACGCCCGCTTCTCGTGAGCTCGCCGCCGCGATACGCTTGCTCTTGCCCATGTTCCATGGCGCTCTGTTTGTCTGGGGCTCACACGTGCAGGACCAGACGACGTTTGGTGCTCTGGGAAGGAGCGGTGTGGCGTGACCGGCCGAGCTGTGCTGATGGCGTTACGAGCAGTTGCAGCCGATCACGCGAGATGTCATTGTCATCCACCACGGGCGGGATACCGCAGCGGCAGAAAGCAACAGAAGAGCAAGCACAGGGCAATAGGGTGGATTGCCGCCGGCGACGTGGTAATAAACTTCGTTGAAAAATGAAAATAGACGTGGTAATAAACTTCGTTGAAAAATGAAAATAGACGCCACACCATGGAAGAATCATCGGGTGCTGCCGGTACCGGCGCGCGCTCGGCAGTCCAGCATTGGAGACTTACGTGTCGGGCATGAAAAGGAAGAACGCTTCTATAATAATTCCGTATAAATCGGATCGGACGCTATCATATGAACTCTACAGCGTGGCGCCCCGTTCGCTTAGCTGAAATTTGACATATACTGATTTGTTGTAAAAGAAAAACGTTGTTCGTTCGCTGAACAGAACGAGCTTTAGGCTCCAATCCTCAAAAGTGTGGTACATAAAAAACAAAAAGAAATAAGACCACGAGAGCTAGAAAGACTAAACATCTAACTTCTATGTCCATGCTTTAAACTTGCCTTGATCTTGTGCAGTAACAATCCTTCGTATCCCCGTTTACTTGAAACTCCTAATGTCATGCCTCAAATTTTGATCTTGCGCGGTAGTAATCCCATCCTCGTTTACTTACAAACTCTTTGTCAGGACAAAACCACCAAAGTGGGAATCCTGTGGACCTACAAAGCCAACGCCTTCAAGAAGGAATATGATGTAGGCCGGCTATCGCGGGGTCGAAACTGTAACACCCCTGGTGTTACGAGCTTACTTAGCACCAGATTTAGGTCTGAGAAGGATTAGCCTGACAAGTTTTCGGGTTTTTAAAATTTATAACGCACGTGAGGCGAAAAATAATTTCTATAAACTAGGATCAAACATAACTTGTATTTAGTACTTAAATACATAACTTGTATTTAGTACTTAAATAAAAATTAAGGTACAAGTTTAGTAGATGGAAATGCAACTTTAACTTTTGAAAAATAGATGTTAACTAGTGTTTTGGGAGCTCAAAAATCAAATTTGACGTTAAGATAAGCTCTTTTCATTAAGTTGGCAAACACTTGAACTATTGTGTAAAATACCATTTTTGATGAATTATATTGAGCAAAATAGTTAAATGGTGCTTAAATATTTTACTTCTATGGGTTAGTATAAGGTATGGACTATTATATGAAATACTTGTTGGTAGCGGTTAATAGGGTTTAGTCCTTTTAAAAATTGTAACAAAAGTGTTACAAGCTGTTAGTTTGAATTGAATCCTAACTTTTCTATGTATGGAAAAGTAGTAAGACAATGCTATCTTGATATTTAAATTCTAGCTAAAATGTTTAAACACTAGCTTCATGTTTTGGTATTATTAATTGCATCGAAGTGAGTACTTTAGCGTGGTGAAGTACACGGATGAGTTGGAGTTGTCGTGGCATTGCAGAAATTACCCTAACTTTGTTAGAACGCGCTTTCAATCTTGTTTTGGGCTTCGGTCGGGAACAGGTGTTCAGCGCGACGAGCTCCTGTTGGCACATCTCTATCTCCCTCGATGCTCACTCCCCGGCCAAGCTCGTTGCTCGGACGAGAAGCATTTAGTGGCTACTAGAATCTTGAACTCTTGCTTTAATCTCAACTGGGCTCTAAGCGGTTGGTTTTGACGCTTTAAAATTCGTGCTTCGCACGTGGTTCGGCTGTTCGGGCCCGGGGACGCGGTCACCGCGTCCGGTGTCGCGCCGTTGTGGGCTACCTGCACTACTGCCGGCCGCTGCTACCACGCGCTGTGCCGCGGGTTGGTTGGCAAACCCTGTGGCCGCGACCGCTGTCTCGTTGACCAGACAAGTGGCGTCAGCTGCCCGCTAGGCCAGGTGTGGCCGCGGTCGCTCTCCACCGTGCATGGGACGCAGCCGACCGTAGCGCTGTCCAAGCGCACCTGCAGGGTTACGCCTTGTCCTCTAGTTGTTTCGGTTACTGCAGCGCTCGCCCTCATCCGCACAACCCACCTACCAAGCCCGAGCGCGACGCCGTGATGCTGCGTGCACGTGGCAGCATGCGGGCACACCTTCAATGGCTCTGTTCAAGCGCTAACCGACGTGCCGCCTGTCCCTCGCTCCTGCGGTCATATCCCTGCGCTGCCGTGCCTCGTCGGGTCGTGGCCAAACCATCTCTACCGGTTTCGCTTCTTGTGATGTGGCAGTGGCAGTGCACCGCTCTCCCTCACCCTTTCTTAATCACTAGCCTGAGGCTTCCTAGTTCAATTCCTCGCACCGGTGGGTTGCTTAGCAAGTTAGCTAGGTACGCATTCTCATCGAGCCCAGTCGTGGTCTGTCAATGATCAATTTTGGTTTCTCCTCGTAGCCGGTCATGTGCGCCGCTGTGACCAGAGGGTTGGGGGTAAGGCTTGTAGGAGTGGTAGCAGTTCAATTGCTCGTAGCCCTGAGTTCGCCTTGACTCTCTCCATTCGTTGCTCGTGTTATTTTGGCCAGGGTGCTCGTCGTCGGTGGGGTGACACGCTGGTGTCCATCGTAGAGCATCACCGCCTCGCTCGGTCGCACGTGGCTAGACCATCACAGTGCTCCCCTGCTTCAACCGTCAGTAGGGCGTACACCACGGTGAGCCACTGATTCTTATCCGCCACTTCTACTCTCTCGTGCGTAAGTAGGCTTGTCGAACAGTCGCGTCGCCGCTGCAGATAGCCGCTCGCCGCTGTAGCCCACGACAGTGCGCCTCCGAGTCCCTAACCGCCACCCATCCTTGCATGTTTAAATGTAGATGGTGGTCGGTCCCTTAACGCCGTCATAGCGAGCCTAGTTTGCCCAGCGTAACCGCCTTGTGCCGTCGGCCGCCGCGCTGGCACGCGTAGGGATTCTAGGGACCTCTCAGTGGTAATGGCGAAAACATTCGAGGGTTTGGTTGCAAAGGTACTAACGGTAGAAATAATACGCATAGTAGTCATATTAATCTCTGAAAGCTTAGGGGCCTTTCTGCAAAATGGGTAACGCGTCCGGCACCCCTAGCCTTGGGCCATACCGGGCCACCGCGATGTGTGCGTAGCCGCTCCGCGCTGGTCTGCCGGGCCAGAAAGGGTCGCTGCCGGCCCTTTCCTTTTTCTAATGCCTTTTTCTAATTTAGTTTCTAAGGTAAACTTATAAATTCAATATAAAATTGTGTAGTTAACCAAAAATTATGAAACCAATTTTGTTAGATTAATAAAATTGTGATCTATCTGCTAGTATATTTTGTTCACATAGTTTTATAATATTTTCAGAAGTGATCTAATTAATTTAAGGTGCTTAATATTGTTAAGATATAAACTTGTAGGAATTTTTATGATAAATTGGTGATAGTGTTGGCTCTGAAATTTTTATAGTAAATTTCTAACATTATTAGGTGATCGCTGTAATTTTTGTAGCTCCATAATAATTAGTTTGCTAAGGTAGGTAAATGAGCCCTAGTTCAAAAATATATGTTTAATCAATAAAATGTCGAAACACCTTGGGATTTTAGAATTAAAACATTTTTTTAGAGACAAAGCCTTACTTGACGGCTTGGATACGTAGACTAGTATGTTAGTTATTAAAGCTAGCTCGTTAGCTTACAGAGTGTAATTGTATTTTAGAGTTGCAGTTACCATTGATCAATTGCGTCTCTGCGTTGCATCCACGTATATCATAATAGGAACAATGATGGACTATGGAGATGACCGAAATAGCAGAAAAGATGGTGCCTTGATGATCGTGTCACCATGAGGGAATGCTAACTCTTGGTTATATCTTACCCAGACAAGCCCCGGAGCATAACCCCTATTATTCTGTACTTTATCTTATGCTTGTGCATTAAGTTTTAAGGAGTTGAATGAAAACCACTTGCATATATATATATCCTTATCCTATGAGTCATACTAGTATGTCAGTATCGTGTAGATTGCTATGCTATAGGATCCGGTAAAAGTCGAGTGATTACCTGTCACTCACGAGAGATAGAAAAGATATTATTGTTGTTATTATATTACTGTCACATGGAATATATATGAATGATAATTGGAGACCGGGCGGAATGATACTTTAGATCTGGACTTAGTTAGGCATTCGAGCGAGGCTCGAATTGCACTTGTTCTGCATATGTTGATTGAGGACCGTTCGTTGCTGTGGATGGTAGTCAGGTCACATACTTATTATCCTGAGCACAGACTTGCTAATGGGAGCGGGAAGGCAAGTTACGCTCTTATCGTGGGTTCTGGCTCTTTCCGGACCAATTGATTGGAGGCGGGGAAAGGTGGAGGTCTAAACACCATACTGAGATCGGGTCTCAAGTGTGGAGGCTTGGAGTCTAAGTTTGGACGGGGACCTGGACCCTGTGATAGGAGTGTAATGCGTTGGTCTTGTTTGTGCCTGGGGTACAAGCGAGACGTGTGTTTTGGGGTACCCAACTGGGATACATTGGTTCGCTAATCGCCGTTTCTATGAGACAGTACGACTTGGCCATGGTCTAGCACCATAGTAAGAACTGAAACTTGAAAGGTGATAAAATAGTTCTGATTGCTTACCACCTGCTTGAAAGTAGCATAGGTGCTTACATAGAATGGTCAGTTAATGAACTAATGATGACTGCTAATAAAATTGACTATAAGGACGTACGTTTAGTAATGCTTCTTGCAGATGCAATAACCCACAAGCCAGATAGCCTTGCATATCGTTGGAGTCTTTTATTTTCCTCTTGTCGGGTAAGTCTTGCTAAGTACAATCGAGTACTCAGGGTTTTATTCCCCCTATTGCAGGTGATCGAAGGATATATAGAGCTGACTCTTATGTGTAGAAACCTCCTGGTGGGCTCAGAGATGATTCCTTTCACGCTACGACCGTAGTGTTTAATTATAACCCTCACTAATGGTTTTT